AAATTTTATAACAAATTGTGGAAAACATTATTATTTTAATGAACAATTTCCATGTAAAACAAAGTCAAACGAACACAAAATTTTAAAATTTTTCGGGTGGAAAATTATACCAATCAAACACACTTAATTAACATTTCTAGACAATTACTTTCTCTAGGATTCATTTTCTTTTCCCCCATTTTCCACAATTGCAATCAAACGGACCCTAAGATCAATGAGGTAACAGATAAAAGAAAGAAAAAAACTAAAATACATAAGATTGATAAATTACCCAATTAGTCACTAAAATTTGCAAAATGTTTTTAGAAGATTACTGAACTTGAAAAGTTTCCCCATTAGTCACTAAACTTTATAAAATATAATCTCATCAATCACCGCGAACTTCAAAAGCTTCCCCATTAGCCATTGAACTTTACAAAATTTAATTTAATCTGTCACTGATTAACGGAAAAACTTTTAAAATTCAATGACACCCTAAAAACCTTACGCAAAGTTCAGTGACCAATTTGGTAATTATTCCTTCCATGTCCAAAGAGGTAACTGCTANNNNTCCATGTCCAAAGAGGTAACTGCTAATACTTCTATCATCATCTATATCAAATTTATATAGATTGTTAGTTACTTTATTGTGCACAAAAGCAATGTGCTTCATTTTCTAATTCTTGTTCTAATGGTTTTTGGGAGTTTTTGCCTTCATAATTCTTTCTTATAATTTTGAAACGTGAACTAGATATGACTTCTTCTTGGTGTGATAGTCAAATGCACATCTTTGTGTGTGGCTATAGAAATTTGGACAATGTAAGAATGTGAATGATTGGTTACGAAATTTGTGGGCATTGATTAAAATTCATTGGGAAGCATTTTTCTGCAAATCAAAATAATTTATAGCTGCTCCATATTTGGCAATAACTAAAGAGCCAACAAAATGAAAACAGTGTAAATAGGGACTCTCAAAAGGATAATTATTTTTTTTTAAAGATAAATAATACTTGTCTTTACAAATTTATTCCTTCATGTCATTAAGCACTTCTCCACCAAAAATTTCACAAATTTTCTTTTCACAAACTTGTAAGGAACTATGTTGATCTTTAATATATCACGTTCAATGCACAAAACAATCACTATTCAACATTTCTTGCGACATAGTTGACCACAAATACGACTTTATCAACTTCGATCTTTCAATAACCCCTTTCCGCACAAGCCACTGAAACACAATTTGTGAACAATATTTCATAAGCAATATATGCCTTCGGAAGAAAAATAAAAAATCAACTCATTTCAAATTTATATCATTGCAGAATAATACAAATACGAATTAGAGAATTAAAAAAAATGCAATACATTTTCGAAACTTTTATGTTTCAAAATATGAAAGTTAACATCATAAACTGATGAGCAACTTGCAAGAAGAGTGAAAAAACCTTGTTCTTTTATCCAAAGTATAATAAGAATCAAGATGATAATTTTCGGGGCATTAGAGAACTCTCAATGATCACCGACATACCTTGTCAAAAACTATTGATTGAAATATTGTTAGTGATATTATTGGGACTCATCGAGGATACTTTGGTAACTTATCACCGACGTGAAGTCATCGATATCACCACTATATTTTTCTAATTTTTATAAATTACCCACAAATAAGTTAAAAATGATGAAGTCTAGAAAAATGAAAACCATATTGACTCAAATAAATATTTGTTACTGACTTATAATTCCAACAAAAGTGCAACATAAGCCCAATTAATGACAAATACGTTTTAAAAAGTACTAATTACTAGTGCTATTGTCTTTACCAAACATCGT